ATCTTGTTTATCTTAAAAAGCTAGTTTTTGATTTCATTGATCATTTTATTTTTTTATGACTCTATTTTGTTTATTTCTCCTCTGATTTTTATTATTTTCTTCCTTCTACTCACTTTGGGTTTTGTTTCTTGTTCTTCTTCTTCTTTTTTTTTTTTTTCTTTAATAAAGTTAGCTTGTTTATTTGAAATTTTTCTTGTTTCTTGTGGAGGCCAGTAATGCTGTGAATTTCCCTCTTAGGACTGCTTTTGCTGTGTCCCATAGATTTTGGGTTGTGTTCTCATGTTAATTTTTTCAAGGTATCTTTTGATTTCTTTCTTGATATCATTGTTAACCTATTCATTGTTAATAACATGGTATTTTAAAAAATATGTTTTTATTGATTTATAGAGAGAGAGGAAGGGAGGGGGAGAGAGATAGAAACATTGATCAGCTTCCTCCTGCACACACTGTCCTGGGGATTAAGTCTGAAAATTGGGCATGTGCCCTAACGGGGAATTGAGCCAGTGACCTCTTGGTGCAAGGGACAACACTCAGTACACTGAGCCATACCAGCTGGGCTAATAACATTTTACTTAACCTCCATATCTTTGTGTGTTTTTCATGTTTTGTGTGTGTGTGTGTGTGTATGTATGTGTGATTAACTTCTAGTTTTATACCATTATGGTCAGAGAAGATGCTTAATATTTTAATCTTATTAAATATATTGAGACTCATTTAGTGTCCTAACATGTGGTTTATTCTAGAAAATGTTTTATGTGCGCTTGAGAAGTATATTCTGCTTTGAGGTGAAATGCTCTGAAGATATCAATTAAATCCATCTGATCTAGTGTGTCATTTAAGGCCACCATTTCCTTGTTGATTTTCTGTCTAGAAGATCTATCCATTGATGTCAGTGGGTTGTTAAAATCCCCTACTATGACTATATTACTGTCAATCTCTCCCTTTATGCTTCTAAGTTGGGTGCTTAAATGTTTACAAGGGTTATATCCTCTTGTTGGATTGTTCCTTTTGTCATTATGTAGTATCTTTCTTTGTCTCTTAGTATAGTCTGTGTTTTACTGTCCACCTTCTCCTGCTGGCTGCCTGTTAGGTTCAGTCACTGATAGAGCTTCTGGTGGTACTGGAGTTGCATGAGGTAGGTTCTCAGTGAGTCACCTGGTAAGGGTGAGCCATATTTACCAGATTGATACGGGTTCAAACTTGGTGGCAGTGCTGGGGTTCTGAGGCTACTCAGCAAATGTCCCTGAGCATACCAAGTCTAGCTGCCACCTGCTGGGTGCTCACAAACCTTTGTGCTTTGGTGAGGTCTCGGAGTTGTCAGGGTGAGGCCTGCAGAGTTTATCAGGCCTAAACAGTCTAGGATTTGGCCGTATGAAGGGAGGGCTCTGCTCCGGTTGGGTGTGCGAGGGAAAAATGGCCCCTGTTCTAGAGTCACACAACTCAGTCTGTTCCAGAGCTCAGCAGGGTGGGGCTGCTAGGAGTTGGGAGTCTGGGGATAGTTGAGAGCATGCTATTGCAAAATATTAGTCCCTTGATTTCGATGTCATAGTATCTTGGCTTTCTTATGAGCTAGTTTTAAATTACCCTGAAGCATTAATTTTTTTTACAAAACAACCAATATTGTTTTTTTCTTTCCCACTAATTTGATGGCTATTTTAACAATATTAATTTTTTTTTTTTTTTTTTTTTTTTTTTTTTTTTTTATTTTTTTTTTTTATCCTCACCCGAGGATATTTTTCCATTTTTTGTACAGAGTGGGAGGGAGAGAGAGGAAGGGAGAGAGAGAGAGAAACATCGACGTGAAGGGACACATCGAGTGGCTGCCACCCGCACGACCAACCAGGACTGGGGACAAACTGCAACCGAAGTACGTGCCCTTAGCGGGAACCGAACCTGGGTCTCTCCAGACCGCAGGCCGACGCTCTAACCGCTGAGCCAAACTGGCCAGGGCAACAATATTAATATTTTTAAAAATTATTTCTCAACTTTATATTCTGACTCAGTGATGAGTCTATTTCTATAAGTCACAGTTATATAGTAGCTTTCTTAATGCCTTTTAACATGTGAGGTGCAGGTTGCTCCTCATTATTCCTTTGTAGAATGTTTCAGGCTATACTCACAGATTTTTCAAATATATTTACCACTTCTTATCGCCTTCATTTTTTTTCTTATATATATTTTACTGTTTGGTCCTCAACTCTTTTTTTGATCATTTCCTTCAGACCTCCCATTTTTCTCAATTTCCTCTTAGCTTCATTCCCCCTAAACTTAATTCTGATGTTGGCCCTCTTTCTTACACTTATGTTTTTTTTTTTCAGTTAGTTCCTTTTGGATGTCTCACCATCATATCCAATAGCCTTATACAAATTTGTAGTTACTGCAAAGTGACTTCCCTTCTCAGCTCAACCCCACTGTGTATTAATACCACCACCCCAATAGACATCTGGAGTTAAAACATGTGCTCTGATTCTTTCTTGTGTCTCCAGTGACTTCCTAATTCCCATTGATGCTTTTTTTATGAAACAGGTCCCCTCTTCCTCCTCTTCCATATTTCCTACCATTACCATATTTTGGGTTATATCATCTCTCATGTAGATCATTCAAACTCCTTCCTAACTGAGCTATCCTGTGCAGTTTATTTTGCATTTGTCTGTGAGCTTCATCTAATATAAATGACTTATGTAAATACTAAGTTTAAACTGAGAATCTCATTCATTTCTTCTTCATTCACCTAACAACTAATAGAGTGACTATTATACACCAAGTAAGCTTCTCAGTGCTTGCCATGGAAAAGCGAACCAAACAGCATGTTTTAGTCCCAGTTCTGTTGGAGCTTAGGTTGTAATGGTGAGTGGAGATGAGGAGGGAGAGAGAGGATTCATGTAAATGAATGAAGTAATTTTGGTTTGTGGTACATTCTATTGTGTGATAGGATGTGAGGGTAGAGTGGGAGTGTTGATTTAAGTTGGGTGGTTAATGAGACTTCTCCATGTAGGTTTGATTTGAGCTGAGATATGAGGACACTTAGGACCAACTAGGATGGGAAAGAAAATTCTGGAAAACCTTTTGATGAATGGAGGCTTTTTATGTCTCCCCCAAAACAATAGACAGGGTAGTCCTTAAAGTAATTATTATGTGTAAAAAAAGAACTCAGTATATGATAACAGTAGCATCTAAGGTATCATGTTGGGGATAAGGGCTAGATTATTGACACATGGAAATTAGTTGCTTTATATAGTATGTGTGATTCTTTGCTCATTTGGCTGTTTCTTGGGGCATATTCATGCCTATGGGACTGGAATTATGTAGCAAAATAAAACTGATATAGATGAAAAATTCCACCATTAGAGTGACTTTTCTTTTTAGTCCCTATTTTTCTATTCATGAGGAGCAAAGAATTTGGTTCTGAAATTTTCCAAAAGATCAGTTCATTGGGATAGTGAGAAAAGGAAGTCAAGTTTCTTTGTTTGATGGTCAGAGATTAAATCCCAAATCTGTGCTGACATCTCAGGCTTCCAGTACTGGCTGTAAAGCCTAAGAACCCAGTCTGGCTCACAGCCTCCGGAGTGTGGCTAATCAGGCAATCACCAGAAAGATGAGAGAAAGAACTAACTAGTGACTACATCCCATTGACAGTAAGAGCAGGACAAAAGAGTCTTGGATTTTGTTGTGTTATTAAAGAAATGCAATTTTTAGAAATTTTCAGCTTCTTTATTACATGTTCTTGATTTGGGCCTGTGAAAATCTGAGGTTTGATGGGACATTTGATTTTCTTTAGACACTATAATGAGCCATCCTATTCTCCATGTGAAATTATGTTAGTTGGTGATTCCCGTGACAATACAGATTTAATTAACATTTTAAATTTTTATACAAGGAGTTATTTTTTCATTTATGTTTAGAAATTGTGTCTATTATTCATGCTGTCACTGGTTATATGATCATGCATATGTTTGAATAAATCAGTTGTTATGTTAATGCTGTGGCGTCTGTTAAAGGCTTTGTAGGAAAATACTTCTCTATCTTTTATACCTATAGTCTGCTTCTGCTAAATTTGACTCGACTGTTATTGGCAGGTATCCAGTGATATGTATCCTTATTAATGCTGCTTTTTCTGAAATTTTACACCATTTTCTAAACCATCTTGTTGCAAACCGATAAGTCTGTGCCACTTAAGATATTTACTTGAATTCTTGACTTTTATACTTCCTTAGGAACTTCGTCAAATTTTTAATAGTTTTATTTCTTTTTTTCCTTCTTAGAGGAAAGTATTTTCTTATAACAATTCAATTTTTCTAGGACTGGAAATCTAGTTACCTGGTATGGTATTGTGGCAAAGGAGTACCAAAGGACAGATAATGACGACGTTAGAGCTTTTCACTCAATAATGAAAAATAAACTGTGTAGCCTACATTTTAACTGAATCCGGAGCGAAGTGCTTTATAATGTTTTCTGTATTCCCAGAGGCATGTGATATTTACTAGCTTTACCCTCATTGTTGTTACTTCTGTGTAGCTTATATGATTAACTTACCAGTGTCAGTAGGACTAAAATAAATATCGATTTTTCAATGTAGAGGTATTGAAACAAATACCATGCTTAAAATGACAGTCCCCCAATAAATACTTATCAAGCATATACTCTGAGTAAAGCACTTTGCAGGGTGCTTTGCAGGATTTAGAAATAAATTAGATGTGGCTTCTGCCATCAGGAACCTTTGAGGTTGTGTGGGAGATTATACCCTTAAGAAAAGAACTTCTAAAATGACCTGGATGGCTTACTTGGGTGGAGGGGTCACCACAGAAACTTTACTAAGGATGTTTTATCTTCACGGTTCTAAAGTTGAAATTCATTTACTAGTTTTAAAAAATGCTTTAACAATTTGTATAATAAATACCAGTTATATTTAAATGCTGTCCCTAATGTTTATGCTGACTTAAATTTTTTATTTGAACTTTTCTTATGTATTAATGTAAATTCTTACATTATTTCTTTTCTAGTTTACTAGAAAATGGTCAGTTTGAAATTGTGACAGGTGGCTGGGTTATGCCTGATGAAGCTGCTGCACATTATTTTGCCATAATTGATCAACTAATCGAAGGACATCAGTGGCTGGAAAAGAATTTAGGTAGGTATTGATGTTTTTCCTCTTTATTTGGACTACTTTGGGCAATTAATTTGGGGCACTTTTAGATGAGGTTGTATTTTATTATTTTAAATAACTAATTTTCCCAATACTGTTATTTTTAAATAATTTATCCTCATCCATTTACGATGTTACTTTGATAATAAACTTAGTTATATAGATATAATATAGTCTTTTAGGGTCATCTACCTAGTTTAATCTACAATTTTATCTATTTTTTACCTATTATTTTTATTAATTAGAATTTTTTTTTCTAAAACTATCCCACTTGGATTTTAATTATATGTTACTTAACATACTTGATTGTAAGAGGCAAAAACCTAATTTACTAGCTTAAGGAAATAAAAAAAGAAAGGTATTAATTTTGTTATTGAAAATTCCAGATATATGGTAGATTCAGGGGACTCAAAGTATGTTGTCTGGGCCTTGAACACTGTCTCTTTGACTCTGCTCATTTTTCATGGCTTTAATCCTCTCCTGGCTCTCACCACATGGTAAGATGGCCATAGGCAATTAGGACTCATCTTCCCTAACAACCAGGAGGAGGAATTTTCCTAATACCTTACCCAGTTGATCCAATTTGAATCAGATGCTTATTTCTAAGCCAGTTACTGTGGCCAGAGGTATAGGAGCTGAAATCGCTAAGACCTATTCAGTTTACTGTAAGTGGTCACAGGGAAAGAGGGTTTGTGGGGTCAGCCTCACTCAAACCATGTGAATGGATGGGTCCGCCATGGGGAAGGAAGGATCCTCTTGTTATAAGAAGTGAGGAGGAGGATGTTTCACTGATAAAATCAAATATTCACTACAACTCATAAGAACCTGGGACTAACAGAAATCTTTGTGATGTCTAATATTTGCATTCTGCAACATGGTATGTAAATTAAATATTTCATATTTCTCAGTACAATATTATAATTTCTGTATGGTAAGTAAACATTTTTATTGAAGTTATTTCTAGATATTTTATTATTTAAAGAATTTTTTTCTGTGTAGAGATAAAATCCCCATTAATTTTTTTTACTTTTTATTTTGAAATAATTTCAAACTTAAAGAAAAATTATAAGAATACTATAAAGAACTCCCATAAACCCCTTAACTATGTTCACGTTATTAGCATTTCTTCATATTTAGTTTATTTTTTCTCTTTCCATATTGTTGTTACTATTAGAGTAAGTTGTAGATAACATGCCTGCGTAGAAAAGAGAGAACATGTAGATCTGAAACTGCTATCCTTAGAAAGGTCTTTCCTACAAAGTTGGCCCTTGGCTGGTGTCTGGGGACTTGGGTTTTCTAAATGCTATGAGTGGCTTGCTGTGTTTAAATTGTTTGTAAAAACAATGTAATTTATGCTAAGTACTTGTTTCCTTCTGAGATTCTAGAATCTCAATATGTACTAGGCAGAGAGTGCCTACATGACCAGCCCCAGTGAAAACCTTGGATGCTGAGTCTCTCCAGTGCTTCCTTGGTTGACAGTATTTCATGTGATGTCACAATTTGGTGCTGGAGGAATTAAATGTGCACAGGGAGAGGAAGCTTAGAAGCTTGTGCCTGGTTTCCTGTGGACTGTGCCCTTGCCTTTTCCTTTTGCTGATCTGGCTTTGTATTCTTGCACAGTAATAAATCACAGCTGTGAGTACAGCTGTATGCCGAGTCCTGTAAAATTTTCTTAACAAATCACTCAACAGGGATGTGGACTTGGAGACCCCATACACAGTGCCGGTTTTCTAAGCCAAGAGTACTGTAAGCTAAGAATATTCATATTTTTAAACCTCAGTTTTTGTGGATTTTTCTTTATGTTTGGCTCTAATTGACATGTTTTACGTGCAGTACAACATATAAATGTTAATGATAGAGTTTCAGTTTTGACAAATGTATATGTCCATTTAACCCTCATCTTCACCACTCCAAAGTTCCTCATTCTCCTGAGCTCTCCCGCTGCAGCCACCTGCTCTCCGATTTCTCTCACTGTAGATTCTTTTTTGCCTATTTGAGAACTTCATATTGTGGACTAACTCTTGGACTAGCCTCTTATGCTCAGCATACATTTTTTTCCTATAAATGCATTGTTTCACATATAAAATTCACCCATTTAAATTGTACAGTTCAGTAGTTTTTATATATTTACAGAGTTGTGCAGCCATCTCCACCATTTATTTTTAGGACTTTTTCACATCCCCCAAAGAAACCGCTTACTGTTTAATAGTCACATCCCTTTCTTACCCCTCCCTTCCCTGCCTCAGGCCCAGGCAACTGTTAATCTCCTTTTAAATGTATGGATTTGACAATTCTTGATATTTCACATAAATGGAATCATACATTATGGCCTTTATGACTGGCTTCTTTCGCCTGGCATTATCTTTTCAAGGTTCAGGTATCGTGCTTCATTCCTTTTCATAGCTGACTCTGTTGTTTGGATATACTACATTTGTCTATCTGTTCTTCAGTGATGAACATTTTGATTGACTACTGTGAATAATGCTGCTATTATACATTTGTGTTATGTTTTTATGAGGACATATGTTTTCATTTTGGGGGGGTATATACCTAGGAGTAGAATTGCTGGGTCATATGGAAACTACAGTTAGCATTTTGAAGAGCTGCCTAATTGTTTTATAAAATGGCTGAACCATTTTACATTCCCACCAGTAGTGTATGAGGGTTCTAATTTCTCCACATCTGCCACAACACTGGTTATTGTCTTCTTTTTTATTTTAGCCATATTAATGTGTGTGAAGTGGTATATTATTATGTCTTTGATTTGCATTTCCCTAAAGACTAATGATGTTAAACATCTTTTCGTGTGTATATTGGCTATTTATGTATCTTCTTCAGGGAAATGTCAATTAAAATCATTTGCCTACTTAAATTTTTTTGGTCTTTTTATTGTTCACTTGAAAGAATTCTTTATATATTTTTGGTACAAGTTCCTTGTCAGATTATGATTTGCAGATATTTTTTTCCTTCCTGTGGGTTGTCATTTTAGTTTCTTGAAGGTGTCCTTTGATGAACAAAAGTTTTCATTTTGATGAAATCCAGTTTATCTATTTTTGTTTTTGTCACTTTTGTTTTTGATATCATATTTAAGGAACCATTTTTCAACCCAAGATCATGAAGATTTACTGCTGTGTATTTTTTTCTAGGAGTTTTATAGTTTTAGCTCTTACATTTAGATAATGAACACACTTGAGAATATGGAGTTTCTTCTGTAGGTTTGACTGCATCTTGTAAATTAGTATACTCAGTTTTGTTTTGTTTTCTAAACAGTTTAGAACATGTTATTTTGGAGACTTAATTTTACATTTGGTTATGGGATACATTTATTACACAAATTGGACCATTATAAACTTTAATAAGTTTGGGTTTTTAAGGTTGTCTTTTGCCCCAAATATACATTTTTGTTACTGTTCTCTGACTGCTCTTAAGTTTTAATATTAAATGCACTTGAAATAATCAAATTTTATTAGTTATATTATTTATATTACTCATCTTCTAATTTTTAAGTCTATTAGGTTTGCCAGAAACCGAGTGGTATGTTTATTCTTTTAAATGATTGTTTTCTGTAATTTTTCCTAACAGTTCTTACTTTTATTTATTTTGGTAATCTTAATCTTGCATAATGGTTCAAAATGTTTTCTGTGACCTTTCCTGGTTTTATAGAATAATAAAACTTGCAATTTTTCATATACTGTACTTTTCCTTAATTTTTCCACATTTTAAAAGAATAGTTGCTTACACCGAGGAAAACCTTAGTGGGATACTGGGTTGAAGATATCTCCCTAGCTCAAATCTCCTTTCATATCAAAGTTTTTAAAAAATGTAGTTTGCATTATCTCTTTTCTACATCATTACCTCTTAGGGATTCTTTAACATATTGCAGCCCAGTTGCTGCTCCTGTGGATCAAGTAGTTTTGATATGGAAAAGATCACCAGTGGCCTTTGCCAGTGTGGTTCAGTGGTTCGAGTGCCAACTGTGCACTGTAGGGTCATGGGTTTGATTCCTGGTCAAGGGCATGTGCCATACCTGGGTTGCAGGTTCAATCTCCCACCCTGGCTCCAGTCCTGGTTGGGGCATATGCAGGATGCAACCAATCAATATGCCTCTCTCACATTGATGTTTCTCTCTCTCTTCCTCTCTCTTCTGTTCTCCCTACCTCCCTCCTTTCCACTCTCTCTAAAAATCAGTGGAAAAAAATATTCTCAGGTGAGGATTAACAAAAAAAAAAGGAAAAGATCACCAATGATGCTAAAATTTCAGACATCACTGTAACATTAGATGTTAATTTTTACTCTTGTGTATAAGCTTATTCTACCTTTGTTATTTGGGACAATGTGTATTTCTTTTTTATTTTATAACTCAATTTTGGTGTTATTTTAAACTTACAAAAAGTTGCATGATAGTGCTTGGGAAGGGCTTCCATATATCCTGTACCTAGATTCATATACATATTATTCTGGATCATCAGAGAGTAAATTTGAGACATCTTGGAACTTTATTTCTTAATACGTCATTGTATATTTCCTAAGAAATAGGGGCATTCTCTTGTCTAACCAGAAGGTAGTTATCCAATCAGGAATGCTAGCAGTGATATAATACTACAGTCTTGTTCATAGGTTATATTCAATTTTGGCAATTGTCTCAATAATATTTTTTTATAAAAGCTGTTTTTTTCCCTCCCAGTCTAGGATCCAATCCAGGGTCATGTATTGTGTTTAGTTGTCATATCTTTTTCCCTTTAATCTGGAACAGTTTCTCAGTCTTTCTTTGGATTTCTTGACCTTGATAGTTTTTAGAAGTATAGGTCTTTGGTGAAGACAGTTACTCAATTTGAGTTTGTCTGTTATTTTATGACTGGCTTCAGCTTATTTATTTATTCTCGCCTTTCTATCTGTCTTTATATCTGTCTATCTATTTATCTGATCTAACCTAATTTATTTATTTTGCTAGAATATCACTGCAGTGATGTTCTGTTATTTTCAGCGCATTCTATGAAAGGCTCATACTGTCTCTGAGTTCTAGTTTCACTAATGTTAGCCTTCATAGGTATTAGCTTCTGTTAAGTTTCTTTGTTGTATTGTTCCATTTTCTCCTCTCTAATTAACAACTTATTTGTGAGATACATTGACAATAGGTAAATATGTTTCTTATTAAACTTTCACATTTTAGTTTTAGGATCTGTTGGTGATTTTCTATGTTCTATAATTATTAGTTGGCATTCTAGTAACAGGAAGATTTCTTTTTTATTTCCTGTTCATCTATAGACTCATGGATTCTTATTTTATTCCGTGGGTTGTAATCCAGTGCTACTATTATTTATTTTGACTCCCCATTTGTCCCAAATTTGGCAGTGGAAGCCTCTCTGGGCTGTCTTCTGAGTTATTTTAATATGTTCCCATAATTCTTGGACCATTTCTTTAATTTGTGGCACAAGAATATGTTCCAGGCTTACCTTGTACTTTCCAGCCTTAGCCCCGGAATAAGCCATTTCTATAAGGTTATTTTTAATAGAGCATGGTTTTTAGAGATCCAGACCCGGAGATAGTGTGCTCATTGGTACTGCTGTGCTGTACATCTGAAACTAATACAGAATAATATGGAATGTAAACTGTAATTGAAAACAAAAATTTTTTTTAAATCCTCACTCAAGGATATTTTTTCAATTTATCTTCAGAGAGGGAGGGAGAGAGAGGGAGAGGGAGGGAGTAAGGGAGGGGGAGAGAGAGAGAAACGTCTAAATGAGAGAGACACATTGACTGGTTGTCTCCCACATGATCCTGACCAGGGCTGGGACTGAACTGCAACCAAGGTACGTGTCCTTGACTGGAATCAAACCGGATTCTCTTGATACTCTAACTGCTGAGCCAAACCCGCCAGGGTGAAAATTTTTTTTACATGCAAAAAAACCCTTAAGATTTAATAAACTGTGGTACAGTTATTTCGTCAGCTCTGCCACTGTATAATAAGATGATTTGGAGCAGTTGTAAGGTATAAAAGACAGCCTAAACATTTCTTACTGTTGGGATTTGAGAGTACGAGTTTAAATCAGTTAGTTTACATGTCTTACATAATGTTGGGTTATCCCACAAAGACGGGACTGTGAGATCCAGGGGGAGGACTTGATTCTGTTCGTTTCTCCAGCTCCATTGAATGGCAGTAGTTTTCTAATATTGATAAGATGACTGCTTATTTCAGCTCCAACTGATTAACTCCTGGTGCGATTCCCAGCCTGGGAGGACACAGCAGTGGCAGAATCCTCCCTGCAGAGGGGCCTGTTGGGAGTGCTCCTGAAGGGAAACGCTGGACAGTTCCTTTGTCTTCGAACCAAGGATTCCGCGAAACTCGGTCTAAATGTGTTACAGTGACTTCTTTTTATTTCATTTGTTAATTAAAAATAAATGATGCTTATTTTCTTTTTCAACAGGAGTGAAACCTCGGTCTGGATGGGCTATTGATCCTTTTGGACATTCACCAACAATGGCTTATCTTCTAAAACGTGCTGGATTTTCTCACATGCTTATCCAGAGAGTTCATTATTCAGTTAAGAAGCATTTTGCAATGCATAAAGTGCTGGAGTTTTTTTGGAGACAGAATTGGGGTATGTGGGGTTTGATGAAAGTTGAAGTTCTCACATGACCTAGATGTTATTTCACAAGGGTTATGAACTCATGCCATTATGGCTTTTATTCAATGTCAGGCTTGAAAATCAAGTTGCCTGAAGATACACGTTCTTATTTTCTCAGTGTATTTGTGTCGAGCTTCTTTTACTCAGTAGTGGATATATTTATCTATAGAACATTGTAGATTTTTTTTTTTGCATAAAGAAAATAGAAAGAATTAGTCTTTTGCAAATACTGCTTTCACTTCTATTTTAAAAAGCACCTGTTTTTATCACAAAATTGAACATGCATTAGAACTAATGTTGAGTCATTTATCTCGTATTCAGCCAGTGTTTCTTCCCTCTCTCTCCCCTGTCTCTGCATCTAGTAAGAATTGCCTTTAAAAACCTTAATCCTGTCCTCCTAGAAGAGCTCTCGTATTACCTATATTGCTTATTTTCTGTCTTTGTTTTGTGGGCACTCAGGCACTCCAAGGACACATTTCTGCAGTTCTTTGTTGGGGGAGAGGAGACGAGATTCAGGTCTCTTGGGAGGCCTTTGCCTTTCCTACCCCCATGTAAAATTCAGAACACATTATTTTTATTTATTGAGTCTTTGTTAGGGGTCATGCATTGTGTTATGTGCCTTATATGAACTCTCATTCGATTTTCAAAATAATTCTTTAAATTAGAGTCTATTATTATCCCTTTTGTATAGTGAAGAAATAGAGGCTTAGAGATGTGAAGCCATTTGCCAACAGTCCTACAGGTAGTAGGTACAAAGCCAAGACGTGAGTCAGTTCTGGAGCCCAGGCTCCTAGCCCTCAGCATACACTGCCTCCCACTGCAGAGTTCTCAGTCTGGTTTCATCTGAAAAAAAGAATTTAGTTGCTAAAACAATGTTCAGAAATTACTGTATTGCATCATGCTTGCTTTCCTGTGTAATCTAGACACTCCCCTTAAGTGTTTCAGAAAAATCATTTGTAAATCTAGATAGTAACTTTCTTATATGTACTGCGGTCTTTCAATAAGGAAAGAATTGAATTATATAATTTTTTATTTTGGAAAATTAAATCTGCAAGGAAAACAAGAACTTGTGGGGTGTTTGATCAAATGCAGTGGAGCATATTAAATTTTTTTAAAAAAAAGGATTGTTGATTTGAAGGAGCCCTACTTAAACTGTTGCATAGATTCCAATTGCCCATAAATACTAGTTAACAAGAAATTACTGAGCATTTTTATGTGGTTAATACTGTGCTTGGAAGAAATATAGAAAACATCTTTGCCTATATAAGAGAATTGTCAGTCTCATTTGATAAAAGACAACACCAGGCGCAGCAGATAAACTGAACCGGTAAATGGGCTGCTAGATAGGGTGGTGTGAGGGGAAATGGCAGGCGAGTGTGTCCTTGGTCCATCCGTTCTGAGACTTGTGACAACCTCTGTGCAGAGAGTGAGCAGTAGTGGCCAACATCCATGGTGTCACGCCATGTGATTCAGTGAAACAACTGACAGCACAGAATTAATTCAGATTATAGTAGCTTTAAAATTTGAAAAGAATTAGCAGTTATTTAGGCTAAATGGAGTGTGAGGTAAAACTGAAATATTTTAGGACTTATCTGGCAGATTTGAATATGCTTCTTTAAATTATGTTTTGGAATTAAGTTGAGCTTCTGTGTGTGTTCTGGTTCTTAATGAAGCAGTTGTTTTCTTTTTTAAAATGTAAACATGGCTTTTTTGGGGGTCTTATCTTTTGTTACAAAAGCAACGCATAACATACCCATTTCTGGAAATTGGAAATCCATACATAAATAAAGGGGGAGAGCTAGTTACCCATCAGGATCATACAAAGCTAACCACTGTTGATGCCTAGTTAAGCGCCCCAATCTCACTGGGTGGTTGGCTTCTGAACTCAAGGGCAGTTATATCTGCCATTTGCTGGCATTAACGCTTTAAAGGAAAACAATTCCGCTTTGGAATTTAGTACTCGTTTCCTTATCTTTTTTGTTTGCTTGTTTTACTTTTGAAAATTATTTCTTTTCCTGTGCTCCCTTCTTTGGTGAAAAGTCCCATTGGCCTTATTGGTGAACATTGGGGTGACTCCATGAACTCTCCTGGTTGCGCTTCCTTCTTACTGCTAGAAGGGGAGAGGCATGTGCCCAATGTGTCACTAGCCCCCCTTCCTTTGTTCTTTCTGTTCCCCCTTTTACTTCCTTCCTCTCGTCTCACCCAGCTTCTGCAGCTAATGGTCTCTGTCAGTGTGTCCTGTTACCTGAGGTGGGAACAGATGTGGCAAGAGCTGGCAGCCAGGGATGGACATGGCCATGACTTTGGATGAGTTGGTTATAAATTTTACTTCTGCTCAGTTTGTATCATCCAGGTCAGCAGATGCTGTTTCATGATGGGGCTCTTCTGTCTCTGCTAAGTTTGGATATAAGAGGTAGATAGAGACTGAGATGTGAGTATCTACTTTAGGCTTGTGGTCTTTTGATACTGCTGGGGTACATGTGCTAGTAGTTAAAGGGGTTGTTGATTTAGGGCAGAGCTTGCATCATATAAGTATGAAGTACTGGCATTTTGAATAGTTTTGGGAAAACAGAATTTATCAATGCAGGTTTGTTGTTGACTCTTTATTTTAGATCTGGGATCTGGCACAGATATTTTTTGCCACATGATGCCCTTCTACAGCTATGACATCCCTCACACTTGTGGACCTGATCCTAAAATATGCTGCCAGTTTGATTTTAAACGACTTCCTGGAGGCAGAATTGGTTGTCCCTGGGGAGTCCCCCCAGAAACAATATATCCTGGAAATGTCCAAAACAGGTATGAAAATATGCATTTCATAAGACAGCGTCTTGAATAAGCAAGCATTAGGTGGTTGTTGCTGAAGGGTTGAATAAATGGACTTCAATAGCCAACATTATTCTCGTTCACGGTATTCATTCAAAACAAATCTAAAGCAACTTAAAAATGCCAGAGCCTTGACGATGCCTGTTATGTGTTATGATTGAATGGAAAATGAACAATAGTAGATCAATATACAATGGATAACCTATAATGAACTGTTATTACCATCTCCTTTGCCCTCATTATAAAAGCCTTCTACCGTGTTTGATCGATTTCATATACTTTTGTTGATAATAAAACTTCTGGTCTCTATTGTATAAATTAGTAAGAAAAGCAGCCAACTGCAAAAACACATTTATTGAAATGGAACACATAAAGAGTATAAGTATTTGTTCCCTTAATAACAATTTCAATAGTAGTGAATGCTGCCCAGCCCTGATGAAGATCTATCTTTGCATCTTTGTGATGTTTTGAATTACAGAAAACTTTAATTAGAAATATTTATACTTAAAGATATTTATATAAAAATCAAAGAAATGAACATATTTAAAGAAAATTTTGCTAATGATGGAATTATTAAATCAAGTTCCCTATTCTTATTTTGGTGTTTTTAAAATTTAATTTCTCCACTTAAAAATTAGTGGCATATATTGCATTAAAATAAAACATTGTGTTATAAACCACTCAACTCTGCTAGAAAAGTAATATATACAGCCTTTATTTTTATTTAAAATTTTTTTTTCTTTATTGATTTTAGAGAGAGGAAGGGAGAGGGAGAGAGAGAGAGAAACATCGATGAAAGAGAACATCAGTTGGCCACCTCCAGCATGCCCCCCACTCAGGATCGGCCCCACAACTGGCGGCCTATTGGTGCCTGGGTTGATGCTCAGCTGCTGAGCCACACTCGTCGGGTGTAATACAGCCTTTAAATAAAGATCTTTGCTTGGTGCTCTATAAGATGTATTTATTTAATTTATTTATTTTTAATCCTCACTTGAGGATATTTTCACATATATCTTCAGACAGAATGGGAGGGGGAGAGAGAGAGGGAGAGACGGAGAGAGAGATACAGAGAGAGAGAGAGAGAGAGAGAGAAAAGAAAGAAAAAGAAACATCGATGTGAGAGAGCCACATTGACTGGTTGCCAACCGCACAACCCCAACCAGTGCCTGGGACAAACCGCAACTGAGGTACATGCCCTTGGCTGGAATCAAACCTGGGTCTCTGGTCCGTGGGCCGACGCTCTAACTGCTGAACCAAACCGGCCAGGGCGAAAATGTATTTTTAAAAAATACATTTTGAATAATGTGTGTGAATAGGGAGATGAGATTGGTTCTCTGCCTTGAGCAAGTCCTTGTGGTCAGAAAGAAATAATTTCATGTGAACTTTCTTTGGCAGTCACAAAAGTATTTTTAGCATGGCAGCTTCCTTTAAGCCATGGATCCTTTCCATCAAAATCTGACTTTCATAGTTGTTTTGAAAAACTATCCAAGATTAAGGATTAACCTTGTTTCATTTTCTTGGTTTCTACAGCAGTGAGAATCATTGAGGAACACTGAACAGCCTGTCTTCAGGGGTTAGACTGGCTAGGCATAAGGAAGTAGTCTTGTATACTGTGTAGAGAGAGGTGGTGGGGCCAGGGCTGGCTTGCCTGTCCACTTGAGAAGCAGCTGTTTGTCCCTGAGTCAGGTATTTACACGAATCCTCTCAGCTCAGGTGGTCAGGGATAGGGAACTGCTTGAAGAGTATAGCCAAATGCTTCTTCAGTTGGAGAGTCCTAGTGTGCCCACAGGTATTTTGAGCCCCCTCTTTATCTTTTTTTGGGTGCTGCTGAGAGTACCTGAGAGGCATTTTCTGTCATCCTTTTGCTGTGTCATCTAGCCCTTCGAGAACACACCTGTGCTCTTTCAGTTCCATTGATTCTGAAAGTGGTTTCCATGCACCTGGGGGCATATAGATGAATGAATATATATAATACCTATGTAGATTTTTTAAAAATTCTTATAAGTTTTGAAATCTTGACCCTGCTGGTTATTTCACATCCAAAAAGCACCTTCCTTTGGACTTTGTCATGAATGGAGATCAAACATAGACATTCTAGCTTAGTGGCACTTGACTTTTAAATACCCTAACAAAAATGAAATTTAATTATAATATATAGGTGATATATTTCGTTCAGCAGGTTCCTCTACTTTGAAAATAAAGAAATACTATTCTTCATCAAGTTCAGTTTTTGGTCTAGTGCCCTGTATTTTACATATGATGATGATTTACATGTCAGATGACATGATGTTTTAGGGAATTTTTTTTTTTTTCTTGGTTCTAGTTAAGTTGACGTTTTAACCTGGTAGAATAAGTGAAGAGCAAATTGCAGCTGCTCATCTTTAAATGTGATGTTGGTCAAATCAATTGTCATTAGTTTACCATATATTTAGTGAGTGTCCACTGTCTGCCAGGTGGTGTAAGCTGGTCCCTTGGCTTCCCTAGCGTTGACACTTTCTGAGTAGAAGCTTGAAAGTTAGGACAGTTGCAAGGTGGAAAATGCACATCATTAATGTTCTTGATTCCTTTCATTTTATGTGTTTTACACATGTACACTTGAGGTAGTAAACCATGGAGTGCATTAAAATGATCACATATCCTTTTTTATGCTGGTTGCCTGAGGGGTCTCGTTGAATGCTCAGTCATATTGTATCATGTATTTGTTTTCTCTCATTTCTTTTGGTCTTACTTATCTTTCTATGTGATTAATCTTGTATGTATTTTTAAATGGAAAGCAATACTAAAATTGTTTTTGATAAACTTGGAATATTAGTACACTACTAGTAAAATTATTCTAATGCTAATCTCAGAAAACTAAGCATTGTTTTATCTGTGAAAGTTACGGTTATATTTTACCAGGTTATTAACATTTTGCTAATAATTTAATCCTTGTAAAGCAATTTTAGAGAATATCCCTATAAAGAGATCATATGAGATTTTCAATTTAGTCAAATGCTTCTTCATAATTTCTGTAAAATGCCTTTTTCCATCATTGATGTTCTTTGAGTTTCTTTGATAAGTTTCTATATTGTGAATTGGCATTTACTTCTGGACAATCCTTGAAGTAAAAATTGAAATACTGGGTAAAAAGCATATTTGTCATTTATCATTAATTTCTTGAGCTTTGGTGTTATAAACATAGAGAACTACTCTAGTTCATCTGCTTGTTCAATTTCATTTTCATAACCCTTTCTCATAGTTTCTATGCTCAGACTTCCCCAAATGCTGCCCAATTCAGCATTTTCCAAAGGGTTTTCTGCAGAAAATGAAATATAAAACATAGCAGCAAGTTGTGTTTAGCTGACCTTTTGAGTAATAGGTTAGAGCCCAAAGAGGTAGAAACCAAAGCAGTTCACTCAAGTCTTAAGCTTTATCTGTTCAGTATTGAGAAGGACAGCATGAAAAATACTCAGATTATTGATGGCAGGTGTTAAGTGAATTGATTTTCATATGACTCAATTATTGGTTTCATTCAAAGTATACTTGTTTTATGTTTAATCAGGTAATTTTAGGTTAAATTAGAGAAAGAGATATTAAGTCAAAGCAAACTTCAGAGTTCATATAGCTGGAAATCTTTGTTATCTTCCTGGACTACATTGCTATATTGAAACACGGGCTATCCGGGATCCAGTCTCTGTGGCTGGCCTTTAGGGAGGGCATTGCTGCCCCCGTAATTATATGCCAGTATAACTATGTGACTTTATTTTTCTAAGGGTAATCCTTTGGAAGACTATAGGTTTTTATATCTGATAAGAACTTATGAATATTTTAGGATAATGAAAATTAGTATGGTAGTTTAAAAAATTTGCTTCATAAATCATACTAACCTAGGATATAGGTAAAATAGACAATTTCTTTCAATATAATACACTCTTTATGAGTTGCCTAATTGTTCCTTTTTTAATACTATTTATATTTTCCCTTCTTTCTTTTGTAGGGCTGAGATGCTTCTAGATCAGTACCGAAAGAAGTCAAAACTTTTCCGCACCACAGTTCTTCTGGCCCCTCTGGGAGATGATTTCCGCTATAGTGAACGCACGGAATGGGATCATCAGTTCAAGAATTATCAGATACTTTTTGATTATATGAATTCTCGACCTCAGTATAATGTTAAGGTAATGAGAAACTATTTAATTATGATACTGTATTTGAAGTTGAGCCTTCATTATTAAAAGAAGCTAAAACACAATAGCCTTAGTTTCTTTGTCCTGCATCCCAGTATTTCTTAGAATATGTAGTTCTTATGTAAAAGTGTAATTCATGAAGAGGAAAATTACCTGATACTCTAGTTCCTGTTCCAAAGTTTTTCCTTTCCTACCACTCCTTGAAGATTAGAGAGCTATTACCTGTATATGGTTGGAAACATGGACCTACTAAATTGTGATGTTCATTTTTCAGTGATGTTATGTTTTTCTACTGGCATGGACAGTTTATTGTTTCTGACAGTTGCATCCTTGTGATTTAGTGGTGTGACTGGCAGATGCAGGTGAACATGTCATGAATTTTGCAAACAAATGTCTTGTGTCCAGAGAATACATTAGCATTTTTCTTCGATGAGAAGACTTCCAAAATTAATCATTTGCCTATAGTTCTTGCTTTATTTTTTCTTGTGGAGAATTAAAAGTGTACCCTAACATTTTGAGAATAATACAACTACACCACCATCGTGCAATCCAGGGCTCAGCTACAGCATTCATCAACTCAAAGTCACTTTCATTTCAGCTGTGCCCTCTGTCATCTCGCCCCTCTCTTTGGGATTATTTTGGAGCAAATTTCAGATGTCATGTAGTTTCATCTGTAACCATTTCAGTATGTATCACTAAATGACAAGGACTCTGTTTAAAAACATAATCATAATGCCATGATCACATCTAAAAAATTAGCAGCAATTCAATAATAGAGTCAAATTTTCCTGATCTCATAAAAACAGTTTTTAACAGAGACTTTGTGTGAGTCAAGATTCAGATTAGAGTCATATAATAGACCCTTTATGAGAAAATTATCCAGTGTGTTTTCAGACAGTAGAATATCTGTGAAAATACTGTTGAAGGGAAGTGATGTTACTGTGTAGAAAATTACAAAGCTGATAATGGACCACATTTTATATAGTGAGAATTCAAGTTTATTAAATAAACTTAAATAATATCAAATAGATAAATAAACTTAAATAAAATACCAAGTTTATTCAAGATACTTACAACTGAATTTCTACCACATTATGAATTTTGAGCATTAGGGCTCTGTTTAAATCATCTCTGTATTATCCTCAAAGATGGAACTCACACACAAACATTTGATTTGAGGAACACGTATGTAATATGGGTATCTTATCTCCAGAGACATCTTCCTGGGGAATGGTTTTGAGGTCCATAAATCTGCTACCTGACTCTGAAAAATTAAATCCTGATTTTAGTATTTTACCTATTTCCTCCTTTGTTTGGACACCAGAGCAATTTTTAAAGTAATTTTTAAGACTGAAATATCACATACCTAGGAGAAATGCACAGAGCATAAATGTGCAGAGAATTTTTTTTGAAGTTTAAAAACCCCCATATACCCACCATCCAGATCAAGAGGTAGAACATTTATAGCATCCCAGAAGAATCTCCCAAGAATTCTCCAAATCATTACCAGCTCCTGTAGAGATAGCCGTATTTTTATTTCTGTCACCATGATTAGTGTTGCCTTTTTAAAAATTTTATCAAAAGGGAATCTTAAACACGTGATATTTTGCATCTGGCTCTTTTGGCCCTATGTTATGTTTGTAAGGTTCATCCATGTTGTTGCATGTAGCAGTAGTTCATTCATTTTTAATGTTGTATAGTACCTCTATGCAGTTGATAAATATGCTACATTATAGCCATTCTGTTGTTAATGGACATTTGGGTTGTTTCTGATTTTCGTCTGTTACAAATAAAACTGCTTTGAACATTTTGTGCATGTTTTAGTATACATGTGTATGAGCTTGTATGGGTATAAAATGGGATGGAATTTTTTGATTAAGTATGCACGTGTTCAACTTTAGTAGATATTGCCAAACAGTATTCCAGAGTAGATAAACTAGTTGTTGCATTGTATGATCATTTCAGTTGCTCTACTTCCTTACTCAGACTTTTTATTGTCAGGATTTATTTTTATTTTTTTCTTTTATGGTAGGTGTGATGGTTTTATTTTGTATTTCTCTGGTAGTTAATGAGGTTGAGCCTCTTTTCATACTTCATTGCCACTTGAGAACCTTCTTTTATGAAGTGCCTATTTAAGTCTTTTGATGATTTTTTTCCCCCATTAAATTGGATTGTCTGCCTATTTCTAACTATTTATTGTTCCTTTATATATTTTGGATTGTGTCTTTTTTCAGATAAAAGTTATGCATATATTATCTCCCCCTATGTTGTTTGTGCTTAATAAGTGCTGTCTGTTGATGAGCAGAAATTCTTAATTTTAATTAAATCTAATATAATAGTGTTTTTTCCTTATGGTTAGTGCTTATGTTTTGTTTAAGAAGGTTTTGTTTACCCCATGGTCATGAAAACACATTTTTGAAGAAGTCCTCTAGAACCTTTATTGTTTTACCTTCAACTTTTAGGTCTGTAGTCCATTTGGAATTGATTGTTATGAATTGTGTGAGGATAGGGATCAAGATACACATTTGCCCACATGGCTATCCAGCATTATTCATGGAAGAAACTATAGTTTGCCTACTGCACTGCCGCATTATCTTTGTCATTAATGATGAGTCAGACTATATTTGTATGGATCTGTGTCTAAACTCTCCATTCGATTTTGTCAATTTGACTAATCTCATACTGTCTAATTACTACAGCTGTATAATAGATCTTATTATCTGGTAGGAGAAGTCTTTAATTTTGTTCTGCTCCTCAAGATTGCATTGATAATCCTTAGTTCTTTGTAGTTTTATGTAGGCTTAGGATCAACTTTTAAATGTCTATAAAAAATTGAGACTTTGATTAGAATTGCATTCAGTCTGGATTAATTTGAGAATAATCAACTCTTTTTTTCAAATATTAGGCCATTTATTCTATGAATGTGGTATATTTCATGTATAAAAAAAAAATTGACTTTTGAGTTTTAACCTTGTATCCAGTAACCTTGATGCATTTCCTTTCTTTCCAGAATTTTTGTCCCCCAAATCTTGGCTACTCTGACTGCCCTTCAGTATCTTTGAACAAAATCTTTTTTCTCTGTATAGTTTATCTAGCTATATCTGTTCTAGGTTGTATATTTAAAGTTACTTTGTCTAAACTGAAAACTTACATTTACTATTATTTTTGTGTGGTATTTTTTTTCTTTCTATATTCCATCTTTTATTGTTGAAAAAAAATAATGGATGAAAGATAATTCTAAAGTTATTAATGCAAGAACATTGTCAGGGAAAAGCGACTCTGAAAGTGAAGATGAAGGAAGGAGCTTTTGTGGTCACCCAAAACTCATCTAAAGTAAAAGAAAACAAAGTTTTATCTAGGGTAGTAAAATTATAATCTTCCATATATACAGCTATTTCAGAAACTAGAAAAAGTAAACTCATTGTTATACCGATGTCCTCATGTTGTCCAAAGGATGTCCAAAATGTCAGAGACCCAAAATGTGCCTTGCCCTAAATAATCTCTTACTTAAACAAGGGCAACATGAATCTTCAGGTAATCACTAATTTCCATTTTTGAGCTTGAACAACATCAATGGAAAAAGCCAGGCTTAAAAAATTCTTTTTTTTATCCTCACCTGAGGACATTTTTGTATTTATCTTCAGATAGAACGGGAAGGAGAGAGGGAGGAAGAGAGAGAGAGAAACATCGAAGTGAGAGAGACACATTGAATAGTTGCCACCCACATGACCCCAAATAGGGCTGGGGACAAACTGCAGCTGAGGTATGTGCCCTTAGCGGGAACCGAACCCATGTCTCTCTGGTCTGTGGGTTGACGCTCTATCCGCTGAGCCAAACCGGCCAGGTCTAAAAAATTCTTATTTCTAATGGGAAAGGAAATGTCTAAGAAATCACTCCCATTACTAGAGATCTTCAGAAATGTATTGAGCTGTTAAATACTCAGTTTTCCTTCACGAACTGTTTTAAAAGCCCTATGTAAGATATGTGAAGTCATCCTTAGAAGTGACTGTATACTCAGGGAAATTAGAAGCATGCTGCAGTCAGAATAGATGAGGGAAGCTTTGGGAAGGGAACAAAAGCAGCTCAGCAGGAAGTAGACACTTGAAAACAGCAATTGAGAATTTACAGACATAGGTTAAGGCTTTTAAGAGGCTCTTCCAAGGTAGGTGTGCTGTTAGTCCTTCATTAAGCTGTGGAAATGCTTTGCACTGAAGAAGCAATTTCCCCAGTTAGGCAAATATAACACCCCCCCCCCACCACCACCACCACCACGAAGTCAGTTAGATAGGCAGTTTTTCATATGTAAATATTTAGGAGCAACTAACTGGTCTTTTATTGAGCACTTTTGATAGCACTGTTTTCTTACATCTAGGACCAACTGCAGAGATATCAACTCAGCCCTAGAGTATTGAGGAGAATTAGGGGAAAGGTCTTGGGCAATAGCATAAGAGGGTCAAGAAATGAGAAAGAAAGAATAATGGGGCAGGGAGTACCGGAGCTGGAGAATGGCTTGCAGGAACACTTTTCGAGAGAACAGGCAATCATGAGAGCAGAGAGAAAAGGCTGGCCGTTCTGAGCTGGTTGGCCAAGGAAAAGCCATTTAGTATACAGTGCACATCACTGTGTTGCAGGACAACACTGGAAACCCGAGAGCAATTGGACCGCTCACCGTCAGACCCTACACCCTTGGTAGCTTCTAAGATCAACCTAGATATCTGAAAAAGGATAGGAGTGAGTTCAGAGGATTTCTTTCCCAAGCCACAATAATTAGTAATTATTATTTTCTTTTAATGAAAGGAAAAACAGGAGCAATTGAATAGCTAATTAATTGACATTGTACTAGCCAGGAGAGCCAATTTGCCATTGATCATCACTTATTTAAAAATTTATGTAATTTTTATAATTTTTTCTATGTGGTGCCCTGATATAGGAATTAAGATTAAGGTTAATTGTTGCTTTTAATGATAAACTATTTGAATTTTTTGGTTATATTTTTTAGATGTCCCAAATATTGACTTTATTTGAGCTACCAAGAGACTTTATAGAAAAAATTATTTTAAATATTTTCTTTTGAAACTTTTCTAGCATAGATAGAGGATTATATTTCAGCTCTTTAAGACCTGGCCAGTTTGGCTCAGCAGTTAGAGCGTCAGCCTGTGGTCCAGAGAGACCTGGGTTCGGTTCCCGCTAAGGGCACGTACCTCGGTTGCAGTCTGTCCCCGGCCCTGGTTGGGTCGTGCGGGTGGCAGCCACTCGGTGTGTGCCTTTCACATCGATGTTTCTCTCTCTCGTTCTCTCTCTCTCTCTCTCCCTCCCACTCTATCTGAACAAAATATGGAAAAGTGTCCTCGGGTGAGGATAAAAAAAAAGACTGAATTAAGTTTGTGAGAAAGCCCAATAAGCCACTTACATATACTTTGCTCTGAAAATTACAAAGTAGGAAGTATTTTTATCCTGACTAATAAAAGTTAATTGAAATATTTTTTAGAAGGTATAGTCAGTTGTCACTGTTAACTCTGGTAGCATGCCATGGTTTCCTTAAATTTAAAACTGAAAGGGATTTTTTTTATCTAGTAGAAATCCCTTATTATTTAGATGAGCAGAGTACGACTTACAAATATTTAGATCATTGAATATTTTGCTGCTATATTCTTCCCTGATACCATCTATACCTATTGGGTCTGAAGTTAATGCTGTATTTCCTGTATTTGTGACCCTCATTTCTTGTATGGATACACACACACACACACACACACACGAACACAACCACACACACTTATCTTCCACTTCCTTAATGCAATTGAAGGAAGAAATAATACTTAAAATATTACCCAAAATTATTTAATTCTCTGAACATTTTCTGATAGGTACTATAATTATCCCCATTATAGATGAGGAAACTAACGCACAGATTAACTTGCTCAAGACACTGTATTTGGTGAATCCAAGAAAAAAGTGGATAATAGAGTTGAAAATTGTTTTTCTTAAATGTAAATATAAGGATTTAGAAATAATCCTTTGTTTTGCTTTTACAAAATTTATTGTATCACAGTACATTTATAATAACTTACTCGTCTTACTAATGTCATTGTTGTGTTTCCGGTTGAAAATTTGCATTCACAATGGAGAAATAATAGCTAAAACTTACACCATTATTTGCCAGTCATTTTTCTAAGCATTTTCCTTAGAACTCCATTAGCTGTAACACAGAGAGACACAGAGACAGTATGTAGTGTGCTCAAAGCCACATGTTAAGTGTTATTAGAGACAGAATTCAAACCCATGCCCTCTGGATCCAGGTTCTTTGTTGCTCTTAACCACTATGCTAGTATGCTACTCACTGTTTTGAACTACTTTTAATTATTTTTCTGCCACACAGAATCAAAATGGCTTTTAATATCTCTCTGTGTTTATAAAGTAAGAAACAACAAAATTAACATCTTTTGATGAAAAGGAACACATTCCCTGTTGAATTCTCTGTTCATTTCTAAAACACACAGTGTTTTAATATTTGTTTACAAGGTCTGGTATCATGTTTCTCTTTTCTTCTGATTTGTAGAAGAGTTATTGTAAAAATGGATTTATGCGCTGGAAATTTGAATCATTTGTCAGGAAGACCTATTCGTTCGAGCTGTCAACTTGGCACTCTGTGCTTGACTTCCCTGTTCAGTGTTGTGTTACCTGCTGATAGAGAACGTCCATTTAAAAAGTCTTGTTGAAGTTTCTCCCTTTTCCCTTTTGGAACTCAAACTTTGGGGAAAGGGAGGTTGGGGGAGGGTATGTGCATGTGCCATGTGCAAGTACTTAATGACTACCAAAACGTATTATTTCAACTTCCGGAACATTTTGCTCAAAATATGTCTTTTATTTTTTATGTTTTCCCCGTCTTTCTTTCATCTCTGAATTATTCCGTTCCCTGATCATTGAACATTTTGAAATTCTACAGGTATGTAAGTGGTTTTCAGATCCACAAATTTGTAGATCTAGATAGCTCTTCTTCTAACTTCTTAGGCGTACAAGTTTTCTCTTAGTTTAATTTGGGATTTGATGCAAGTAAAAGAATCATGAGTATTTCCCCTCTAAGTTTGAGTTTTGTAAAAACTGAACTACATATTCATCTTCACTTGGAAGCTTATCTTAAATATTTATAAGTAACTTTTCATTTTAGTGCAAAAGTAATTTTAAGGTAACTATGAATAATTGAAGTAATTTTTTTTTTTTTAACTAGATACAGTTTGGGACTTTATCAGATTATTTTGATGCCCTGGATAAAGAAGCTAGTAGAACGAATAGCCACTCATCACCGTTCCCTGTTGTAAGTGGAGATTTTTTCACTTATGCCGACCGGGACGATCATTACTGGAGTGGCTACTTTACATCCAGACCTTTTTACAAGCGAATGGATAGAATATTGGAATCCCATTTAAGGTACATTTAACTTAGCTACATTTAGTTATTTGCTTCTTTTATGTTATCATAGTTTTTTTGTAGAGTTTTGTGTAATATAAAACATCTATAGAGGGTCAGGATATGTTTAATGTAATTGTGAAATTTTAATGAAATCAGAGATATGTCTCCAAAGCATACTCAATTTATTACATGGGCTTTTGTTCTGGAAGGAAAAGCAGTTTATGTAATTAGTTTTTCTGGGAGTTGTATTCTGTGTTTTATATTTTTCTAATTAATTACCTGTGTTATTGGCACACCATGGTAATATTCAGTGACATTATCATGTGTGTCTACAGGTCAGTAATCTGGCTAAATTACTGGAAACAGAGGCTTGGGTCAAAAGGAGCAAATAGGGCCTCTCAGTAGCCAAAATGTGGGGCTCAAAATACATATTGTAAAACGAATGTAATTGTTGGCGGGAGAAATTTTAGAGGCTTCATCTCAGATCTTACGTTATTTGAAACACATTTCTATAGGTATAATTTTCTGCTTACAAGAACAAAACTTGTAAGAGATGAGAACTGATGGAGGCAGAGTGAAAAAAATAAACTGACGTGGAGAAGACAAACGTCAGTAGAAAACATGCAAACACTCTATACTAGCATGTCCAGTAGAACTTTCAGTCACTGTCCAATAGACATTCTGCAATGATGGAACTATTCTGTTTCTGCACTGTTTAGTGTGATAGCCACTAGCCACATGTAACTAGTGAGCACTTGAAATGTAACCAGTGTGACTGAGGAACTGAACTCTTAATTTTATTTAATTTTAATTAATTCAAATGTAAATAGCCATATGTAGCTTGTGGCTATCACAGTGGAGGACACAGTTTTAAATAACTGAGTCTCATTTTTGTTAAAGATAAATCACCCCAGGGATTTGTATGTGTGCGCAGCCCAGGAGAGTAATTAATTTTCATGATGAATTCATTTTCAGTTCAGATCCAATCATGAATTCATGGTGATTAATTTTCATGACGAATCTCAGTATTAAAAATAAAATTCTATATCATACCTACGCTCTTCTATATATTAGTGAAACAGTATGTTTTGGAAAGTGTTTTTATAAAAAAACATGAATTTTTTAAAGAGTTGTACTTGGGTATAATAGTGTGTGTTTTTATTATTTTACTGTTGTGCTACTGTTATTATTATTATAAAAGCCTAACTTTTTTTGGACTGTGTTTTCGGATATTCTCAAATGTGTCAGATGAATACATTATTATTGTATTTGTAATAAAAGAGTATATGTTAATAGAGATTTATGCATTTTACTGAATAGAATGTTAGTTATCTGTTATGTTGTTCTGAACCAGCTGTGATAAAAACAGCCAGTAATAAATGATGTTAGGATCCTTTTGGACCACTGGGTGATTCTTAATTGTCAAGTGTTTTTTCATGGCAAAGAGTTATGATTGTTGATTCCATCTTAACTTTATTGAATATATTTAGGTGAAGTAGTTACTACAGGTAATATAGTTTGAAAATTCTGCTGCTTTAAAATAAATAGCAAAAAATATAATTGTGAATTTCACAATGTAATGACTGTATTTGAAAATAAATTTTTGTCTGATAATAGTGATATTTTATCTTAATGTTCATTTGTAAAAAAAAAATGGATAACAGAAACATATAAAAATAAGTATTGTTAAAGTCCACTTTCTTTCATATATATTCTATTCAAAACCAGGTAATATTTGCTGAGGATATGTATGAACATCTATACACAATTTCTTTATTAATTTAAATTTAATGATTTTTATGCTATAAATTTCAGAAGGATTAGAATTTAAAAGTGGAGATTATTTAGTATATTTTCATTATTTCAGCAATTTAAAGGAATTTTTTTAAAAAGCGCTGCACATCTCTTCTTTTTCATATCTTAATATATTTGAAAGCTACCTTGATTTTCTCTGAATTGTTCTTAACATGTTTTGTGTAAAGAGCCTTCTTATATTTTTTATTCCATCAAGCCATGGCATTTTTAAAGAACATCTTAACATATCTTGAATCATGTCCTCTGATGAAGAAAAATAAAAGGTGAAAATTATAAACCCCCAAATTTTTGCTCAAAAGCTATTTATTTATTTATTTTTTTATATATTTTTTTGATAGAGTGGGAGGGAGGGAGAGAGATACAGAAACAGAGAGAAACATCAGTGTGATAGAGCCACATCAACTGGTTGCCTCCCGCACAACCAGGGGACGAACTGCAACCAAGGTGTGTGCCCTTAACCCTAATGGAACCTGCGACTCATTGGTCTGTGGGCCAACGCTCTAACCGCTGAGCCAAACCGCTGAGCCAAACCGGCCAGGGCTCAAAATCTGTTCTTAAGCTAAAGTGTTTTTTTCTTTAAAATAAATGAGAAAAGACACCGTATGTTTTATCATCTTTCAGTTTCTATTATTAAATTCTCTATAATTGGATGTTGTTATTCAGCACTTTGACTAGCTCTTGTCACTGAATTATCGAGACATCATTTGCTGTTTCTCCTTCACTGTTAGTCTCCCACTCATGTGACTGCGCATTTCCCCACTGCCTTCCTCTTAATGTGCATTCGTGAGAGTAAATGGCTTCCTGGGGAAGAAGTCATGGCATATGTCTTCACTGCTCTTGGAGAGAAGAAAGGAAAGAAAGATTTATCAAGTTCACACTGCTGTGTTGAGATATTTTTTCCTATGTAACCCATAAATAAGCCTATCTTGCTGCCAGTGGGTACTGGCTTCTTTCCAGACCCATCTAGAATGAGAACCCTTTGTGTCAACATAGACATGATCTTTGATGATTGAGAATTTATATGTATTAGGTAGATACCTTGTGGTAAAATAGAAATGTTTAATATCAATATCTCTTATAAATTGTTTGTACTGAAATTGTAGATTTTTAAAAACAATACCACATATTTTAAATAGTAAACTAAAATGATTGTTTTGAAATAAAAATTAATGACTGTTTTTATGCAATTAGGGCTGCTGAAATTCTTTACTACTTCGCCCTGAGACAAGCTCAGAAATACAAGATAAGTGCATTTCTTTCATCATCCTATTTCACGAAGCTTACAGAAGCCAGAAGGAATTTGGGACTGTTTCAACATCATGATGCTATCACAGGAACCGCAAAAGATTGGGTGGTTGTGGATTATGGTACCAGGTAATATAATTATTAAAAAGTGATCTTAAAACAAAATCTTTTCAAATTTTGGGTCATAACCTTATATCTTTTAATGAAGTTGTTAATGTTTATCAGACCATAGTAATCATAGTATCCCTTACAAGTATTTCTATAAAAAAAAATACCAATTTTCAAAGCAGGTGTCAAATCTGTTCACAGAGTACTAGCTGTCTCAATTTCTTATTGCAGCTCATTTCTACAAGTGGAATAGTAAAACATTATTATAAAACTGATCCTATTTTCTCCCAAGAATATGGGGTACCTTCCTGACTAAGGATTTGATATCAAAATCATACTTATAACCCAGGGGGATAAAGAGCTTCACATCATTGTATAGAACTTTAATGTCATTTTATTTTCTATTTAGTTCTCAGATACCTTTTTGGTTAATCCTCACCCAAGGATATTTTTTCCATTGATTTTTTTTTGTTGTTGTTGGGAAGAGGGAGGTAGGAAGAGAGAAAGAGAAACAGCAATGTGAGAGAGACAGATCGATTAGTTGCCTCCAGCATATACCCCAACCAGGACCAGGAATTGAACTTGCCACCCAAGTACATGTCCTCAACCTGTGCACGACCCTTCAGTGCACAGGCTGACGCTCTAATCTGAGACACATTGACCAGGGTGATACCTTACTTTTCTTAGAGGGATATTGATGAAAAAAAGTAAGCCTAGAAGTATCGCCAGCAAGTAGAAGAACCTAAAACCCTTGTCATATATGGATGATATAAGGAATTGGGATGAGAAGGAATGGCCTGCGTGTTGATTGATATCAAAGCCATCTTCAATGTTTTGCAGGTCTGTTAGATGAATGAGGGAGTAGAAGCTCAGTTATCTTCATAATACAGAATTAGAAACAATGAGCACAGGCTGTGGCTCAGAAAAGCAGAAGATTTTTATAAGCAGTGTTTCCCAATAATGGAAAGGCTTATCTTTTGTCATAGGAAGATTTCTATCATCTTGCTGGAGTTCAGGTTACCCTTTCATTAGGATCAGTGCAGAGGAGATTCTTACACTGGGAAGGAGTGTTGGTGATTGTTTCACTATAGTTGAGATTATTACTTTTTCCAGATTTTTTTTTTTTGCTATCAACAGTGGTATGCTTTGACAATATTTTAAAATCATTAAAAGTATGCTGTGATTTTCTTACAGATTTAAAAAGTGAATCTCTTTTTTACATAAATAATTGACCCACAGCTGAGGTTATCAATTGTAATAAATGGTAATTAAAGTTTGTTAACAATATTTTGACTGCCCTTCTAGAAAATTTGGCAAAAATATTCTTGAGGTTTCGTTGGTTGACTTGAGTCCTTAAAAATGTATATTCAATGTAGTGTCTTGAATACCTTCTCAATTTTCTTATAGAATATGTATTTGGCATCCATCTATTGAGGTTTAAGCCGACCTCAATGTGGAAAACACTCACTGGATGATAATGATGTTGGTATTTCTCCATAGGAAGCAAACTTTATTTTCTTTTTTGCTTCAAGGACTTTTTAAATGGCAGATCTTCCATTTTTCCTTTTCACTTATTCCTGTTTTCTTTGTTTACTGAGAGTTTAAATGTGAGGCCGCTTAGAATCAGACCAGAGTTTCTAAGAAGAAAAAGGGAAGTCACTCTCCTGCCCTCTCTCTGGCTGCCATATTGAAAGAGATTCGGGTACAGAACATTTTCTGTCTCATCACCTTCCAGAAGGCCTGTCACTATATCTTCCATGTGTTTGGTACTACTTTTAGCTCATAAAAACATTCCTGTACATAATTGCATCTTAGAGAAAAAAAACAACACTAATTCTCAAATCCTACTTGACATTTGTGAATTTGCTTTGTGAGCAAATTCACACTTCATTGAAAAGTCATAAACAATTATCAAGTCATTATCACAGACATTTGAAGTTGGAAATTTGAAAACACAAGTAAGAATTATAAACAAAGAAGCAGTTAGCAATGAACGCCCTCTTGTTCTTGGCAGATATGACCCTATGAATAAGTATATGAGTTAAGGATGGCATTTGGCTGCTAGTAATAACAACTAAAAACAGAATAAATCCTGTCCTACTTATTTTTGTGCTGTATGAAAGAAGCCTGCAAATTCCTGGTTCAGGTACGACAGTTCTTTCTAGCTTTCTCTTCTGCCATCTCGGTGACTTCTAAGAGTCATGCTCTTCAGCAGTAGATTGAATGTTTATATAATTGTAAACTGGAGAGCAAGCTACATCATGGCATATTTGGAGGTTAATTCTAATCGTGGCATAAAAATGAATTAGACTGCGGCAGTGTTTGTAATAGATGTTCAGCTTAAAAGTGGATAAAGGAGCTATGTGGAAGACAAGAAGAAATGATAATGAGGTCAGTTACAGGAAGATTTAGATTTGGCCAAGTTGTGATTAAGGCAGATAGGAGAACAGTGAACAAAATGTTAAGTGTGCGGGTCCTAACTTACAGATCAAACTTGGTATGACAAACAAGATGACACCTCCTGGAAATAGTAGCAGTGATACCAAACTAGAAAGCTGTGGTTCCTGAGTGATGTTCCGTGTACTGTTCCATAATAATAGGATACGGGCATGTTAGGAATTTGGAGGCTCTGGGAAATTTCACATTGATTTTAACTGTTGAAATATTTAAAATTTTGTTGTGTCCAGTGTTTTCCAAACATATATACTATGTTTAGTTTTCTTTTGTTTTAAACAAAGCTTTATATATCTTGAGAAAGTATTTGGGGAATTCTGTGCCAGTCTTTAGTGCTGATTTCATTAGAAGACTGCATGTTTCTATGTCTTGGCCACTGTGAATAATGCTGCAATGAACATAGTGGTGCATGTATCTTTGTGAATAAATGTTTCTAAGTTTTTTGAGTAGATACCCAGAAGAAGGATTGCTGGGTCATATGGCAACTCTGTTCTTAATTTTTTGAGGAATCTTCATACTGTTTTCTATACTGGCCATGCCAGTTTACATTCCCCCTAGCAGTGAATAAGGATTCTTTTTTCTCCACAACCTCTCCAGTACTTGTTATTACCTGTCTTGTTGATAGTAGCCATTCTAACATGTGTGAGGTGGTATCCCATTGTAGTTTTGATTTGCATGGTGGGCACACAGTGCATATATGGATGATGTATCATAGAATTGTACATTGAAACCTATATAATTTTATTAACCAATGTCACCCTAATAAATTCAATTAAAAAGAAAAAAATTAAAATAAAATGAAAAGACTTCATGGTATGCCGTCAGGATACTAACATTGATCCTTGGCATTCACTCATTTTAACTATAAGGACACTTTAATATGCTGAAATACATATCAAGTTTTAGCTGATGGAGAACATGACTTATTCTGCAGGTTCAGATGACCTATTAAATATAGCCATATAAATAATAAAAATAAACTTAGATTGAGGGACTTGTTTTCATATGTGAATTGTATTCATTCATAGAATCTTTTAGTCTGGTGAGAACACTTGTTACCATCCAGGTTACATTTGAATAGAATGAGAAATTGAGCTGCATGATGGTCTGAAGTCAAATCCATAAGATTTTAATACTGGAGTTATAGATTTACGGTGTAAATGTATTTAGTCACTTACATCTTTGAAGGTAATATTACTGTTCTACAAAACTAAGTTATTTCTAATTCTTTTACAAATTTTGCTGTTGATGCATGCCAACAAAAATGTATTTAATGCTTCGTGTGTTTGGGAAGATAATATAATCACTCTATAAACATGATTGATTCTGATGGTTGACTGAAAACATGATTAGCAAAGTTTCTTGACAAATTTCGCCAGTATGAGTTTACTTAGGAATGCCTGCTCTGTAAAGCTTTAAAGCAATAAAACTGAGCTTGAAAAGAAACTTCAGCAAGTTTTTTCCCCATGTGTAGTGTTTTAGCAATAGCTGGTAGTAAACCAAGATTATATTCCGGAATTGATTTTTTAAAAATTCTCACCCATTTCCATTTTTGTTCAGATAGAGTGGGAGGGAGAGAGAGGGAGAGAGAAAGAAACATCGATGTGAAAGAGACACATGAACTAGTTGCCTCCCGTACCACCCTGATCAGGGCTAGGAAGGAACTGCAACCGCGGTATGTGCCCTTGACTGGAATCAAACCAGGGATTCTTTGTTCCAAGGGCTGACACTTTAACCGCTGAGCCAAACTAGCTGGGGCTAGAATTGATTTTGCATCAATTGATTCATAAGCATCCTTTGGTTCCTCAGCCATAAAAATACAGTTAATACATAAGTACAGTTTGAATACAATTAATAGTTTCAGTGACCAAGATTAGTAACAAGGACAGAGACAATTTTATTTTCCATGTCTGAGAAAAAAAATTCTTTTTCTGGTTCTTTTCAACAAGAACATGAAACTAAATTTAACAAAATATCTATTTGAATTCTTCAGGAATTTGTGTTCTTTGAAGTGTAAATATTGATTGAATTTTGTTATGAGTGAGAGTTAATCTTGTCCTTTTTTGCCATTTCAATGCTTGTTAAAGATTTTTCTAAGGCGAAATATCAAATTGTTGCTTCAAAAGCCATTGGGGTAGTCATGCTGTATATTCTTATTATTTGGTATGATATTCACAGAAAGTATAATTAGTTTGAATAATATTATGTGTTTTAGATATGTCCACAAAGTTTTCTATTTTAAATTAATTATTTTCAGTGTGTGTGTGTGTGTGTGTGTATATATATATATATTTTTTGCATTTATCTTTAGATAGAGTGGGAGGGAGGGAGGGAAAGAGAGAGAGAGAGAGAAAACATTGATGTGAGAGAGACACATCGAGACTGGTTGCCACCCACAGGACCCAACCGGGGCTGGGGACAAACTGCAACTGAGGTACGTGCCCTTAGTGGGAACCAAACCTGGGGCTCTCTGGTCCTCGGGCTGATGCTCTAACTGCTGAGCCAAACCTGCCAGGGCAGTGTTATCTTTTGATTAACCTTTCTTTTTTCTCCTAAGTACTTAGTTGGGGGCAAAAAAGAGCCAATTCATGGTAGGTTGTTTCTTGGTTTCACTTTGTGAATACAGGATGAAGGGTAGGGTGGTATTAAAGAAAATGAAAATATTGTATACCAATTTTTAAATTATTTCTCAGACTAATATAAAATTTTTGGTTCACAGACTCTTTCATTCATTAATGAATTTGAAGACGATAATTGGATCTTCCACCCTACTTCTTATTTTGAAGGACAAGCACTCATTCGAATCTTACTCTTTTGATACCCTCCTAGAAATGGTTAGTTGATATCTCATATTCATTATATAAATGTGTGATTTTTTTGTTCTTAGATCGGAAAAAGGGAGTGAGAAGCTTAGTGAAAAGACATTGAAAAATAATTATTTTATGTACATTATTTGAAATAATTTGCATTACTCTCTATAAATTACCTGTGTAGTCTTCTTTCCTATAAGTGTGTCTGTATTCGATTTATGGTGTATATTTTGTTCAGACTAAATTTAAGCATGAAAAATAAAATAGTGAACTTATTTCAAGGAAATGTGAGACACACGCTTTTAGAACACTAAGATTATATTGTAGGTAACTAGACATAATAAATAGCTGTGTTGCTGGGCATTAATTAGAAGCCTTTTGATATTGGAACTTCTTTAAATCCTTAATCTGTTCTTGCTAAACTTCAATTTGAATAATCCTAGTTTGTCTTCTGATTTCAGGATGAGTCCAGGAGTGCGCTGGGCAGTTTGAGACAAGTGAAACAGTAGAGCAGTGTTGAGGATTTAGGAGACTAGCTTTAGCCTCAACGTCTGCACCTGATTGCATGGGCCTTGAAAAAGTTATAACATCTGACTGCCCTCATTCATTTGTCTGTAAAATGGGATGATGATGTCTACCTTGTCTAGTACTGTTATTAGGATCAGATGAGCTAATAACACAGAACATACGGTGGCTCTTCTGCAGCAAGGAAGAACAGTTAAAGAAATGCTTGATTGCAGCCCTCTTTACACTTCCACTTGGGCACTCAGATATTTTAAAATTGTAATTTATGTGTCATTAGAATGTGTTGTGAATGATAGACTTTGACATTGTATATGTAATTTAAATTTACACTTGTGGAGTCAGATATTTTCATATGATGCTTATAATCATGATTATACATTTTCATAGTAAAGTAAAAAATGCAGTAAATGGACGTACATTTCTCAAGAATGTGAAACACACAATACAAAAGTAAAATAGTAATAGTTTTTGCAAAATTATTTCTACAGCTAAATTTATTTGATTCCTAATTGGAGCTACCTATATGGACTCGAGTCCCTGTATATGCTGTACTTGATGTCTGATTATATACATATATATGCATATACACAAGAATTGTTTATTTTGAACTTTGATGGGCATTATGTAGCCCATCTTCAAGATTTTTGCAAGGTGATATTACATAGATAATTTTGAAACTTGTTTTAAAAGTAAAATAAAATTTTTTGTTTATTTTTACAGGATTTGAAACAAAAATCACAAAGTTCTCTGCCACAAAAAAATATAATAAAGCTGAGTGGAGAGCCAAGGTAAATACATTTTTCATACACTTTTACTACTCTTCTGCTTGACTTTGGTTTTCATGATTTTATTCTCTAGTCAGCATATATTTTGAGGTAGTATTTCATCTAATCAGTTTATTAAATTAAAAACATTTTCTAGAGACATGGATATTTTCTCATGACTGTGTCATGTTCAGTGCTCATAGCTAATACATATTTGGTACGGGATGGTAAATATGTAGCTTTATGATAAAAAGCACCTTATCTTTGTAATATTGATTATTTTTACATTATGTTCTTTCTTTATTAACTTTTTGTTTACTTACTTTATTTTTATTAATCCCTATTTTTTTAAATGAAGAAAGAAAGAAAATTAGTTGAAATAAAATTGGGGCATTTAATTGGTGACTTACCTCTGATATACAAAGAAATGCTTTATGTTTTTATTTGCAATTATTTAACCAAGTCATCTGTTTTTAATAACAACATATCCATTGTTCAGTACCCAGTATACCCAGGTCACAGTGTATTTTTGTAATGTAACTTTTTACTATTTAAAATGAGAGATTCAGTATCACCTCCTACAAATTATAGGATAAAAGAATAATTGTAAAGATTTTAACTAGGTATACTTTATTAAAGTTATTAAAAAATAAATGGAGTTAAAGTACTACAGAAGAGTTGTAGTTGCTAGTAAAATTTGAGATTTCTGTTCAGAGTAGACTAAAGCCTCAGCTGTCTTTCTTCAGTAAATAGAGACTTACAGATATACAGCTCATGCCTTAGAATAAGGTGAGTATTTTTTAGTAATACTGAAGTATCACAAAAGTAATACTACATATTTTTCTTTTGGCCAGAAAAAGAAGGGATTAACGTGAAAATAAAGTTTAGGTCTTAAGTTTGAAGTCTTGCAAGTTTTCAATTTGTCAAGCCATAGTTAGGATGAAAGAATAATGACACTGAAAAAAATCAGTTATAAAATTACAGAATGTTTGCTTTGTTTTAAAATAAGTAATGTTTTAATGCATTTGGGGTTATTTGGCTCTTCCTTAATTATTGTATCCCTAATAAACTGTGGTGCCATTCAGTCTATTTGGTTTTAGGCACAATCCTCTTATCTGTTCTCTTTTTTCCCTTTCTCTACTTTGATGGGGAAAGATCGTTGTTTTGCTAAATAGGAGGGAAAAGAAAGAATGACTTAGGCTTGCTGTAAGAAATTTTCACCCCATCTCCACGCCACTAGTTTTCCTGTGGGTGCATGTTAGGGTGGATGAGATGAGACCAGAATAGGACAGAGGAAGAGCTGTAGCCTGTGGTTTCTGTTCTTCCTGTGCTGCCCTTCCCTTAGCAGCAGTGAGAACTGAGACACCGAGAGGAGGAAAGTTAGGAGATAAGGGTGTATTAATTAAGATGAAATATATTTTTGAGCTTTAATTTTGAGGAGTTTCAATTATGGATAAATGTAAGTAGAATTTTTGAGACTATTAGTAAAATGATCACATTTTGATATTTCCTTTTAAACAGTTTACACTTAAATTGTGCTCTTCATCTTAATATGATTTCTTCACAGTTCTTTTCTACCAAATGTCACTGTTACTATTTCCATAACTGGGTAAATTTGGAATATGTATTTATGATTATCAGATTCTAATTTTTATCATTATTACCCATTTTGTACTTTAGAGCCTCATAAATAGAACTAATAGTTTTAGTTTTAAAATCTATGTTTGTTTGTTTTTTAATCCTCACCCGAGGATATTTTTTCATTTATCTTCAGATAGAGAGAGGGAGGGGGAGAGAGAGAAACATAGATGTGAGAGAGACACATAGATTGGCTGCCCCCTGAAAGACTCTGACCAGGGCTGGGGACCAAACTGCAACCAAGGTATGTGCCCTTGATCGGAATCGAGGCTGTGACTCTTTGGTCCACGGGCCGACGCTCTAACTGCAGAGCCAAACTGGCCAGGGCTAAAATCTTTGTTTTATTTGTTAGCCACAAATTATCTGAGTTACTGCTTTCTCAGTAAAAGCAGTGAAGAATGGAGGAGTGATGTTGGTCTTCAAAATGGAAAAAAATTGAGTTTTATTTCGTAGGTACTGAAAGTTAAATAATTGTTTGCACTTCCCAGGGTTCAAAGTGGGAAATGTCAGAAGTGTGGCCAGGAGATGTTTTTGAATCTTATATGATGCTCTTAGAATTATTGTGATTATAAGTATAATTCATATGTGAGCAATAAATTATTAATTTAAATAAAACATGCTTTCTCATGGGAAGATGTCCTACCCAGGAGGTTCTTGGGGGTTTTGAAAAACACTTATTCTTTTTAATATATAATAAGACATAGATACAGTATAATAGTACTTAACAGACATACATTTTATGTGTAGTGTTAAAATTGTATGGGGGATGATTAGGGAAAATGTCCAAAAAGTGTCTTTAAAGAGCTTATAATGTAAAAAGGTTGAGAAATACTGCTCTAAACCCATATGATTTAAATAATACATGTAAATGAATTTGATCTGTTGTTGGCAAAGTTAGTTGTAGCCATAACCTTACATAATTTAGTGTGTGAGTATTAAAAAGTAGTCCATAATCCACTGATAGTGATGTAGGACGCTAAGTTATGATGTTATGTGAACTATATAGTGTATGCATTCGTAATCTTTGTATAGAAAGCAGATACAATTAAGAGTTAAAAGTAGGACACCCTGAACAAGTCACAAATTGTCTAGCTTTAAATAATCCTTGAATATACAAAGATATTTCTGTTTCTCCCTGCATCATAATTGCCTAGGGAAATGAATTGTAAAAAAATAAAATTTCATACAAAGACTTGCAGGATTAGGGACTTGGAGGACACTGGAGTCTGTGACAGGCGAAGGTCTTCGTCTTCAGTGTTCCGTCTGTTCAGGCAGGGCGCGGGTAAGCGTCGCCAGCACAGCACAAGCAGGGAAGCCACATGGTTTGACAAGGTGTTAAGGAACTTTAAAAAAAATCCTTTAGAAGGTAATTTGAAATGCCACCAGGTATATAATCAAAATTACATTGAGATGACTTCTATAGATCTGAAAATTTATTTTTTCAAGTAGAAACTTTTTTAGTTTGAGAGTGATTTATTCAAATGATTATTACAAATTTATCTTTACATGCTTTTAATTTTTAACAAGGTGATTATTGGTAAGGAATTCTACATCTCTTTCTTTTGGCCAGAAAAAGAAAGGACACCATTAACTATGTGTAGACACAAAGGAAATCTGTTTTCTAGGCTTGGGTGACTTAAGCACATCATCTGGGTATCAAAAATACTTTATTTCAGTAAAGGCGCTCAGTATCTCCATTCATTTATTTGTTGAATGGTTCTCCGTGGATGGTCTCCTAGCACCTCTAATTTAATTTCCAGTTTTTTTTTAGATCCCAGTCTTGAAAAATAACATCATTTCTTTTTTGTTGTCTAGGTTCTGAAACCTCAGAACCCACTTTGACTTATGCCTTTTCTTATTTCTTAAATTTTATCAAGTGCCGAGTCTTTCAGATTTTACCTTTAACCATCTGTGACATCCATCTTCTCCTCTCTTCCTATTAACTTCTGGTTTTAAGCCATACTTTATGTTTTGCTTGAACTACTGCAGTGGTTTCTAATTATTTTGGCTTCAATTTCTCTATGCTCCTAATTCATTACAGGTAGTTAGTTATCAGAGGACTATGCCCAAAGCAGGATTCCGAGAAAGTTACCTGGGTGGAAATGGCAAGGTGTCTTAGTACCTCACCTTGGAAGTCCTAGAAAGTCATTTCTACTACATTCTGTTAGTCAAGCAAGTCACCAAGGCCAGTCCAGATTCAGGGGAATGGGTTTATTCTCCATTCTTGAATGTGAAGGGAATATACAGGAAGCAAAGGGAATAGCAGCAGTTCATTCCCTTAGGATAACTCTCTACTGTGGTTCACTCACTGGCCGCCACATTCCACATTGCTTCCCACGTACAAAAAAAAAGAAACTCACCCTTCTCCCAAGATGCTGAGTTTCATCCCCAAATTTTCTTTTAAATCAGGTACAGGATGGCTCATATGACTGGAAATTGATGTTGGCTTATTTCTGCCAGTATAATTATTTGAAGTTAATCTCACTAAGTTATAAACTCCTTGAGGATAGGAACTGTTTCTTTTATTTATTCCCACCATCGTGCCTATGATATTATATTCAACATAGTAACAATTCGATAAAGATTTGTCAAAATACATTTAATTCTTGATTAAAGAGAATATTAAATTTCAGACACCAGATATGCATAGAACATGGTTTATATTCTGTGTGAAAATGTGACATTGTGGTATATATACTCCCCAGAAAATACAGTGTTGGGGTATATATTCTTTCATCTAATATTTGGAGGTTGGATGCCTACTATACTAAATACTATTACAAATAATAATCAATTAGATAGTAATTCAGTAAAGCTTTGAATTTCCTTAGTATTTGGACAGCTGCTCGTTTGTTTAGAATTTTATACCTTGAGACCTGAAAAACTAGATTGCATCACAGCCTCATAGCATGGAATTAACTTAGTTGAGATCGCATTCCTGGGGGCTTTTCAAAGTGAATCAGTTCAAATCATATTCCCAAATATCCGAATGAGTTGACCCTTATCAGATTGGTTTTTAGATGTAAGACTTTGTTGTTGACTTAGAAAATTTGATGATTCTATTTTTTCTATTTTTAATATTTTTGTCACAAACAGTTCTGGCAGTAAATATCAGTGTAATGGAATTCAAGGCTTTGGATCATTTTCTTGATGGTCACAGGTCATCAACGTATTTTTATACAAAGTCAGAACGTATCTAAGAAAGTATCTAATATCTCTACCAGTTGTTTAAACATAAGTTTTAAGTGAAGAAACCAAGGTCACAGCTGTATTTTTGTTGTTTGGAAATGGAATTTCTAGAAAAACAGAATTCTAACCACTCTGATTCTGGAAGTATCATTTATTATAATAGAGACTTGATAGAAGCAGTTGTAGCTCAGCGACTG